AGGGGGTCATTTGCTGTGACTGAATTACTTGTGTAGCCTGGTCATATTTCATTCTGATGTGACATGCAGCTACCCACTAACACTTGTGAAATGCACATATTATAGCAAAGCTGAGTCTCACATGGTATCCCAACATCTTAATTGATACAATGACTATTTAAACTTGATTAACAATATTTGCTACAGGACCATTTGAGGTGAGTAAATGGACTATTCCAAAATACTGTTAGTGGGAAGCCATAACTGGCAACAAAATGGTGAACTTGAAGTTTGTTTTGTTTTGAGTCTGCAATAAATTTTAATGTCTTTAAGGAATATTTAATCAAAACACTTCTTTTAAATATGGCACATGTATAATGAAACATTGTATAGTAGTCCAGATCTGCAGCAGGTGTAAACTCCATTGACTTCATTTAAACCACCAGAGGAACTGCCCCCGTGATAGTCAAACATTAATTGTAGCTTTTACAGATATACTGATGTAGCGTGTAAAATATTTTCATATTGATGTAAATCATACAGTATGTAGGTCTAGGGCTGAGTCTGCTCTGACTAACAGCAATATCAAAGACAAGTAACTCCACTGAAGTCAATGGAGTTTTGCTGATGTGAAAGGGACCAAAAATCAATCTCTCTGTTGCTGTCTCCAGCTGTGGTTTATCCTAGGTTTTAATTTTCTAAATCAGACATTACAAGATTTTCAGATAAGCAAATGAACATTTAATTACCAATGTGCAAACATGTATTTACGCCTCGCGGTCTTTTCCCCGAAATACTGCTTATAATGCTTAACACCAGCATAATGCTGACATTCACATTTACTAAATTCTCTTGTAATGCTTTACCAAGATGAATGGATATAAATATAATGGGGGATATTTCTGGTTTAGTACAATATCCTAAATCATTTTGCCTGCTCTTTATTCTGCATCCTCACTGTCTTAAATAGTTTTATCTTAAATAGTTTTCTCTTTGTGTGCAATTCTTTAACAATAAAGAGCATATGAAAAAGAACTTACCTTGAGGAATATTATTCAAGGGTAGTTGGATGGAGGACAAATGGATTTCAACAGTCAGTAGTAAGTGATTTATACCCCCTTGGACGTGTACTTTACCCATGTGATCACTTCCTTTATCAACCCTACTTCAACATTTATTAATTAGTCCTTTCATGAGATTTCTGCAGGTCAGTATACCTACTGCATAGCTTAATAATATAGCACGGGACATGTAAAGGATCTATATTAAGAGGCCTTTCTACAGGTGCATCCACTGTGCTGCACGCTGACTTAATATGCTGCTGTAATTAAATAACAATTGTTTCACTGTATTCCCTCTTCTACCAAATCTCTGGGTCATGTGATTATGGCTTTTAATAACTTAATAAGAGGTAGTGGCCAGTGATGAAAGACTACTGAAAACTTATACAACATTACAAGCTTTGGCATCCCACCAGTGTTGAAAACCCTGCCTTTATCTGATCTCTGTGGGGCTGATCCAAAGCTTAAGGGCATCAATAGAAAGGTGTCCACTGATTGCAATGGGCTCTGGACCAGGTTTTCTCTTGGTTTAATATGTACTCCTTGTAGCAATACCAACTGCAGTTAGTCTTCAAAGTCACCATTGGCAAAGGACAATGGTTATTCATCTCAGACGCACAATTGTAGTGAAAGCTAGTTGCAAGTTTGGGATATTTTGCCATTTTGGACTTTAATAAGTCACTGTATCTGGGGTTGAGGCTGACAACACCAGGCGTTCCAGTTTGCCTACGTGGCAGAATTTGTCTCTTGAGGCAAGCCGTCAAGATCACATTACTCTTGTACTGCGCACCCTCAGTTCAGTCACAGTGTCATTTCAAGGCCTTGGTCTCAATGTACAAGGCCATAAAGGATCAGACCTAGCTAGACTAGAAGACTCCCTGTCTACCCATGACCCTCAGAGACAGCTGCACTCTTCTGGGACACTGTAGCAAAACAAAGTAGAGGCTGAGGCTCATGAGAACCAAAAGCAAAGCATCCTTGACTGCAACTTGTTCTACCATAATGACTGGACTGAAGCAAAGGCTGACCCCTTTCAAGCAAGCCAAGCCAAGCCACACCGTTCTGCCAGGCTGTATGTTACCGAGGCAGTTACAGCTAAGATTCATAACACCATTCTCTTGTCTTCACCTTAATTTGTCAGTTCACATTAACTGCTTAAGGACCGCTATGGTGATTCCCCTTTTGTCATTAGGCTCTGGGCTATGTGCAAAATAGGAGTCAGGGAAACCTTCTGTGGGTGGTCTGAATGAGCTAGGAGTAAAGTAATTGTTTCCTCAGGGAGGCAGATGGCGCCACAGTTTGAAATCAGCAGCCCAGAGAGGTGTCTTTGATTTACAATGGGCCACCTTGCCAAGTGGTGTGAATTGGCATAGTTCAGTTGACATCAATGGACTTATACCAGCTGATGATCTGGTCCAACATATTAATGTGAGGAGGCTGGAATGGCCCAAAAGGTACGTAAAAAGGGCTGTGGAGCTGGTCCACATCAGTAATAATTAGGCAATGGAGAGAAAGCAAGAGAGTAAAGACTACAGCGGGTTAAAAAATTTCTATTTCAACATTTCTTGACCAAAAAAAAAGAACATTTTTTTTTTCTTCAAAAAACGTGCCATTGTGCTACCGAGGAGCTTCCAGCAGCAGAGTAAAGCCCCCTAAAGTGATATCATGATAATAAGAATCTCTCATTTCCACAGCTGTATGAATGCTGGCACTTCCTGCTCGGGTTTCCATCCAGCGCAGCAGCATGGTTACTGGTGGTGGCTTGTTTTGGGAGCCTACTGGAAATATTCAGCTTTGTAATGGAAGTCGAGCTAGGCTGGTGACTGATAATTAAGGCTGCAGGTTTCTCAAGAAACAGAAAATAGATCACAGCGACCTTGACTTTCCCTTTTGTCCATGACTCACTTCACAGCGGTGGCTCCTGCCCCACGAGGCTGGGCTCAGTTTCCCTCTCCTGGTGCAGCGCCACTCAGGTTTGGCCTGGTTGTGCCTTTGTCCTGATGCAGGGGGAAGGACAGGCAAACCCTGAATGGCACTGAGACCTGATGTTCCAGGTCCCAAGGCCCAGAGTGGGGAGGTAGGCCCAGTCCTGTGGGAAGCAGGAGCTACTGCTGCCCAGTCCCAAGGTAAATGTGTGGTGGGCTCACTCTCCAGCCCCGCCCCCCCACTCCCCTTCTCATTTGGGCCAGGATTGGGGGTGTGGTGCAGGGTGTGTGTGTGGGGGGGTGCTGCCACAGGTGGCCAGCACCCCCTTATTTGTCAGCGCATTTATTTAATCAGACGTCATGGAAAAATTCTGTCCAGCATTTTTGCACAGAAAATGGCTTGTTTACCAAAATGAAAATGTTTGTTTCTTTAAAAATATTTTGTTTTTTTTTTCAGTGAAAACTGGGGAAACACCCAAAACTGAAAAATTGCTTTCCAGTTTTCTATTTTTCTGCTCTCTCTCTCTCTCTCAATCTTTCTCCATACACTTCCCCCTTTTTTTCCTCTTTTTTTCCCCATGTTGCCACTCAATAAGAGAAAGAGGGGGGAAGGAGAGGAAAACTAAAAATTTCTTTGTTTTCCAAAAATCCCAAAATGTTCAGCTTCAGTTTCTAAACTTTTTTTGTGGGAAGTTTTTTTAAATGGTGGGTGGTGGTGGTTTCTGTTTTTTAATTCTGCAAAAAGCACTGGCCAGCTGTATCACTAAGCTGATAGCTTAGCACTTGCCCTCTGCCACCAGGTACTAGGGTGAACATACGCTTTGAAAGAGGAGCACCAGAAACCCTTGTTATGCCTATAGACCAGAGGTTCTCAAACTGTGGTCTGCGGACCACCAGTGGTCCATGAGCTCCATTCAGGTGGTCCACGGATAGTTCCCTCTAAAGTGCGTGCCTGGACAGCCACACACTAGAGAATGAAGGGCGACCCACCTAATTAGTGGAGCCGAGCAGGCAACCCACTAATTAGGTGCCTGGACCCTGGAGAAGACGCACATGTAAGGTGAGGTGGTGGCTTTGGAGGGAATAGGGGAAGATCATTAACTGGTCTCAGCAATTTTCAAGTGGTCCGCGAAAAAAAAGTTTGAGAACCACTGCTCTAGACTACTCTGTGATTCTCAGTTGTGATGTTCTTCTTCTTTGGTATTGTATTAGTTAGTATATTCTTCTCTTTATTAAAATATCTGGGTTAAATTTGTACTCAGTAACAGGGAAAATATTTTTGCCTTGTTTGAAATGTGAATAGTTGGATGACATACTTTTGATTCACGGCAGCATTAGGGTTACATCGGAACACGAGTGTTATGTGATTTTTGTTTTGCTGTTTTTGCTTTTATTAGCGAGAGCTGTTAGTTCACAGAAGATAGACAAAGGGAGTGAAGGGAGCAGGCTAAGGACAGGAGTTTTTAGTACTTGCTATGAATCGGCATAAGCTAATATAGATTCAGCATAGCAGTGAAAGTAGGTACAAACATTTCTTATAGAAGAAGATGCAGTGGTTGTATTCTCCTGCTCACATGGCTCATCAGTTTAAAGCATGGAATAAGGGCGATCTCTGGATTTGGAACAGTGAACGATCTGAAAATGTTTAAGTTCATGAAATAGTAAACAAGTGTCACCTCTTAGGCGTCTTTTAGTCTGATTTAAAATTATTTCATATTTATTATGATCTCTTTAATGTAATTTTGGACAAAACTAACAATCTGCGTACATTAACAGACTTTATTGATATCTTTTATAAAGCACAGTTTAAAAATCTTTTTAAAATATTTCATTACAGTTAAATTTATTGTTTGAAGTTCACCTGGTTTTATACATCATATATACAATCCTTTGGAGGAAAAACAATCTCTAGAAAATAGCTGGTTGATACAAATATTTGTAACTAACATAGATAGCCATCAATTCTTGTTAAATGGAAAAAGACTACTAAAGACTGCCAGAACTCTTCTCATTTGCAGTAAATTCCCTCAGTGCTTTAGACAGATTTACAGATGTTTGTAAGGCATTTTTGTTTTAACGCTGGAAGAACAAAAGAAAATCACACTCAGAACATATTTCACAAGGAGAATTTCTAAAACATATTGTAAGCTTAATTATACCTTTTTATTTCATAAATAAAAGATAATAAAATAGCTATTGGGGAAAGACTCTTAATTGCTCTGTGGAGATTTAAAGCATCTCGTTAATGATTTTTAGATCACGAGCGGCTCCATAACCTTTTGCAACTTTACTGAGCCAGATTTTCAGCGGCTATAAATTGATATACCTCCACTTTGACACATTTAATAGACTATGGAAGAGTATAGCCAGAAAGTTTACTTACTTTGTGAGTAAGCCATTCTTTTGACCCTTTCACAGACGTAAGTTGCATTTTTCAAGAACCAGGAATAGTATTCAATACAGTACCTAAAGATTTAGTCAAAGTTAGGGGAGCAATATCGTTTCATTTATTGTGATTTTATACGTACATTTTTTCAGGTAAGTGTTCTAGTTTAAATAGACAAAAAATGTATGCTGCATATAAAAGCCTGGATTCTGATTTTGTTCATGTCGCTATAAATCTGGAATAATTCCACTGAAGTTAATGGAGTTACCCATGATTCAAACCCTGTGGCTGTCAGATCAGATACCGTCCCAGAATATTTATCCATTGATAGCCCAATTCCCAGTCTTTACTCAAGTAAAACGGCCATTAACTACAATGGGAATTTTGCCTGTGGGAGGACTGCCTGACATTTTATTTGAAGATCAGGTAATTCTTATAAGACTTGTGCTTTCAAAGATAAACACAGTTAGCCCAACCTTGCTGTCACCCTAATAATGCAATATAATGGGCTGACTCCATATATTCTTTTTTGCATGGGACTATAAAGCCTACACTGTACACATTAAATCCCACTGAGTCAATGGGGCAATGCTGAGTCACACCAACTGAAGATCAGACCACTATAAGCCATATTACAAGTGCAATGTCATCAGGGATAATTACCCAATGACACCTACTAGGGATTTGCTTCAGACAGATTTGAATATAGGGACTAATCTAAAGACCATTGAAAGACTCCTATTGATTTCAATGGGCTTTAGATCAGGCCCATAATGGAATATGACATATTTTCTAAATAGAGATCAAAGATAGGTGAGGTCATATCTTTTACTGGACCAAGTTTTCTCTTGTATCTTTCACCAACAGAAGTTGGTCCCATAAAAGATATGACTCACCCACCTTTTCTCTCTAATATCCTGTCACTGACATTGCTACAACAATGGAAGATATTTTCTAAATGTCTTTTCTTCCATTCTATATTTCCATTTCTCATTCCCACATGCGGAAGTTCTTGATTTAATTGGCTCAATATAGTTTTTCCTCTCAAAATTCTTAAGCTTTCAAGGCCACCAATCAAGTATACAGATTCTCATCTAAAGAAATTATTGTCCACATTCCTCTCTCTTTCAGGAATAGGGATTAATGGGAATAGCCCAATGCAAGGCTATCCTACTCATACAGAAGTATTATCAAAATACTGAGAGGTCTATATTTGTAACATTTATCAGTAGCTCTAACCGTATTTAAACATTTGGCGATTTAGAGTAGGATTTTTTAAAGCACTTAACATTGCCCTAAGTCTGCTTCCAGTGAAGTCAATGGCAGTTTTTTTTATTACACACTGTCAGGACAATGCTGAGCACTTTTGAAAATCTGTCCCATAAAGCACACTTAAAAGAGCCATTTTTAACAGAAGAGTTTAACAGAGGAACAACTTGAAGGCAGCACGAAAAGGGTGCTGAGATGGGCATGCCATACATAGAAGCCTTGAGGACTATATGGAAGCAGGAAACCACACACAAACTCCTTCCAGCACAGAACATATTGTTCTCTCTCAATTGTTCTTTCAGCTCTGCTAATTTGACTCTGCATTTTGTTGGTGTAAGTTCTGGGAACAAGTGGCTCTGCTCTGGGTGTGAGAGAGCTCCTCCCCTAGCTCCCAGGTACCTGATTTTCCACAAGCTCATCACTAACAATATTTAAAAGTTAGGAAAAAATTATGTTGTCCCCACCCCGCCCAACCTACAGCCAACTAGAAGAAGTCTAAAAATGATTGTCCTGGGTTGTCCAGCTACATGCAGAGTTCAAAGCCCTCTTGGAATAGAGGAAGACAATCTAGTGCAGAAACTGGGACGGATCAAAGGATAGCTCAGTGGTTTGAGCATTGGCCTGCTAAACCCAGGGTTGTGAGTTCAATCCTTGAGGGGGCCACTTAAGGATCTGGGGCAAAATCAGTACTTGGTCCTGCTAGTGAAGGCAGGGGGCTGGACTCAATGACCTTTCAAGGTCCCTTCCAGTTCTAGGAGATATGATATGATATCCTGAGCCTAGGGAGGGAGCATGGAAAGAGGCACTGTGTATTTAAAAAAGAGGGGAAGAGGCATGGTTAGTTGAATGCCTCAGAAAGTATATCACTTATCTAGGCAATGAACCTTGCAGCACCTTGCAGAATCAACCTAAGCAGCACTTTTCCTTTACCAACAGGATTTTCTATTGCAAACACACCAGCTGCTATTTCTGTGCCTTTTACATCACAATGTTTTTGATATTATTGGGGGAAGAACCCTGCTGGTGAGGAGCCTATTAAAATATGTACTTCAGTGCTGGTTCAACATCGAGTCTGCAACTGGGATTTCAGAGGGACTTTCATTTTACAGTGACAGATTCAGCTAAGCGAATGCCTCCAGTTTATACCCATCTCATCAGGCACATGATGCTCATTAATTGTGGCTGTATGGTCGGCGTTAACATCAGCCCAAGAACACAGTGAACTCAGGAGATCTGCTACCACCAGTGAGCTGGATCAGGCCAGGCTGCACTTGCATTGCTGGTTAACAACACATGGTTGGAAAATTTGCCAGTGAACCATTTTTGTAAAGGAAAATGGCTTTTTTTTGACAAAATGGACTTTTCTGCAAAAAGTGTCCAATTTTCTCATGTTTTTTGGGCAAAATAGTGAAATTAAAATTTTTAGTTTGTTTATTAAAAACCTCAAAAAATCAAAGAACATTTTTGACAAAAATGAAAACTCAAATAATTTAATGAAAAAAAATCTCCACCATCTCTCCTGTTTACGTTCAATGCTGGTATGATTCCACTGACCTCAGTAGGATTTTGCTCTCTAACAGCAGGGCTAAAATGTGGCTTTTTATCGTGGAAGTATGCACGATCTCCTCCTACTTTTCCTGTATCTATAGCCAAGCTACCAAGTTATGTAGGAAATAATCTCCTAAACCAGTCAAAGCAAGAGGGCTTGAGCTGTGCCAGATGGTTTCTTCAGCGCCATTTTCAACTGAATGTATGAGCAGGTGTTACTGAGTTTTCTGAGAATTAGAGAACTACAAAACACTCCTCTGCTCCAATTTACAACCGAGAAAGAGAATCCTCTATTGTTATACACTTCAGTGTAAATAGCCGCCTGAGGCCTATCTCAGGGGAAGCTGGAGAGCAATGGGAGAGGCACATTTTTCTGGTTCACACAATGACTTTCATCTTGTGTTGGACACATGCAGTGGCATCCAGCCATGGGATTTTTCACAATGAGGCAGGTAAGTGTTAACATCCCCATTTTACTGATGGGGAAACTGAGGCACATCATTTAGGTTATCCACTCCTGGGCTTTATTCCCAGCTCTACTTCCAACTTGCCCAAGGTCACGCAGCAGCAGAACAGAGCCCAGGAGTCCTGCCTTTCCCAGTTTCCTATTCTAGGCCTGAGGGAAGATCCTGGTCCCTCAGCTCCATCACTGTTGTGCCCTCTCCTCTCATTGGGTGTAGGCACTACAGCAGAGCTGGGAAGGGGGTGAAGGAAACTGTCCACTCCCCTGATCCTAGAGCTAGTTCCACCATCAGGGGAGTGGACAGTTGCCTTTGCCCCCTTCCTACAACCCTGTGCCTAGCTGGGAATCTGACCTCTGATGATGAACAAAACCAACCTGCTAGAAGAATGTTGCCCCAGTGTACTAAACAGTCCTTCCAGGCAATGAGTGGCCTGTGTGAACACAACATTCAGGTTACCTTTATCCCAAACGAATCACTGACTGAAGCTGAGGGACATGCCCTCTTCTCAGACTCCATTTTGCCCGCCTGCCCCCACATAAATCCCAATCCCAAGTGATTGGGCTGATGCTTCCCTGAAATGCGTCCTCCCTGCATGCTTGATTGTAAGGTCCCGTAGGGCCAGACTTGCAGACTTTTAAAACTAACTGTTGGTGATTGGAAACTGTCCTTTGAGAGAGCAACGCAGACCATCTCAAGAAGGTAAAAGATGGCAAAAGGAGGGCTAGATTTACCTCATGGCTTCTTTTCTTGAATTTCTTCTTTGATTGACACAAAGGCACTGCTGGAAAAATTTACACAGCTCCATCACGCAAGGATTGATCTTTTGAGCCATAAAGGTAACAGGAGGGGAGTTCATGGATGGCTCTTTAAGAGTTGCCTGTGGACATCCTAGAAGAAATATAACTCTGAACTAGTGTGAATACTTGGGAAAGATGCTGATTGACAAGTTCATTGCACTAAATGTCATAAAAACCAAACCTATGTGGGACAAAACTAATGGAAAAACATAGTACACAATTTGGGAGATCTTTGAGTTTAAAATAGGGAGGTCTCGGCTCAACCCATGCTAACACCTATTTAGCACAACTCTAAGGAATCTTCTTCTTGAGTTCCTATTTAGTCTTTTACAGAGCATCATTTATAAGTGGAAGTTCAATATAACTGAAACTGCAGCTTTGCAAATTGTGATGCACTGAAAAGATTGAGAATTTTATTCCATTTCATTATAAATGACATTTTCTATATCCAGGTTTCACTTTATAGAGGATACAAAGGATTCTGACCTACAGTTTTGCACCCATTCATTAAGAAGGTCACTGACAGCCTAAAGCAGAAATGTTTCCCAGGTTTGGACACCTCATTTTTATTAATTCTAATGGGAATTGGGCATCCAGTTCCTTTAAGCAGCTCTGAAAAATCTCAGTCAAAATACCTTAGCTGTGGGTGCTTAGATGAGTATATGGACTAAACAGTCTCTGGTGAAGGGTAGGCTGAAAATTTGACCCAAAGCCTGTAGAGTAATATTGTTTCCATTTTCATTTGTATTTCATACATGTTTTCATCATCTGCACTGAATGTTCTAGCTTCATGAATTCCCAAACCTATATGATTGAGGTCTAACAACAATCTCTAGATTCACTGAGGCTTCTCAGTGCAATTGTGATACTGTACCTTCTCCTATAGACTTGTGATGATCTGCTGGAATATGAATTGTTAAGTAATGCATCACCTGGTTCATATTTTTGTCCCTTAGAGTGAAATATGCCGGAGTTCACAGATGGCAGCCTCTCACTCTTCTGCACCTCTTTTTATATATCTGTTTAAGAACAGGAGAGCAGAGGCTTTGACACTAGCTGAAATATTACTGAGCAGGCATTGATGTTACATTTGTTTCTTTGTTTGATTTATATGATAACAAGCAAATGCAACATCCGTTTGATAAGATCTAGATTGCTTTGCACTGGCAATTATATTACCAAGAGGCTTTGACAAAAATTTCCCCATTGGGCTTTAATAAACCCTATATATGATGTGCGTATATGCTTACAGAAAGTGTTTTTTCACTTGTTTCTCTGTTTAAATAAAACCACTTTCTCATAATGAAGAAAAACCTTGCAGAGCCTTTTTCATGTTAAGTGCATTGTCCAGAAATGTTTGTTTCATTCCCTGAAAACTTTATTGACGTTACTGATAGTGTAGCACAGTATTTAAGGGTGCACACGTGTACAAGAAAACATTATAGATGGATCTGAGGTATCCGACCCTGAAAACCCATTTAAAAAAAATCTGCCTTTTGGCACAAGCTGGTTTGTTACAAAAAAAAGAAAATTTGCTCTTCCGAAATATTTTCACAAGCCCCGGAGGCAAGTCTTTATTCTCTGCTAGGGATGATCTCATAGAGTCCAGAGACGCAATGAATTCTGCCAAAGGCAACGAAATGGAACGAAACCTCCCTTCAATTTGATGGCAAAATTTTAACACTAGCGTCTTGGCCACACATCCCTGTTCTCTGCACCCTGTGACATTGTTAATGTGAGGCTTCAGTCAATGTGAGGCTTCAGCCAGTCAATGTGAGGCTTCAGCTTTTCAGACTGTGCCTCTTCTACTCTTATTGAGAAATACCATTCTCAAGCACTGTACTGGGTAAGCCAGGCCAACATTTTAGTAATAACAGCTATTCCCCCAATCCAAACAGGAATTTTAAGTAAATATTTTGTTTTTTAAAACACTTTTATTGATTTTGTTCAGTAAATATAGAAAACATCCTGCCAATCAAACAATTCAGAAGGCACAACCGAATTTCGCCACGAGGAGGTGGTTTGCATGGTGACTATTAGACTTTGCCCAAAGGATCATAACTTTTATCCTACAAAAAACAGAAACTCAGAGGTGAGGTTGACTTGGGATAAATAAACTGAATTCAAGTACCAATATCATAGGTCCAGTCAATTGATTGACAAATGATGCGGTCATCCATTGTGAGGTGACTGTTTCCTTCTTTAGCAGGTGCCTAGAAGAAGGCTGAGTTTTTACAGTAGGCACAATCCATGCTTACTGCCCTGGTTCACACCCCGCATGGCTGATGCTCCTTTTATCATGGCGCAGTGGCCATCAGTGAATAGTATTTTGATGGATTCCATCCTTTTCTCTTATTCTAAATGTGGGGTTTAAAGATGTTTCATGTTTGTTTGTTAAAAGCCTCCTGATCCAACTGGGTGGCCTCTGGTGGTTTTAGTAGAAGACTTTCTCTCATTGCAGTAGTTTCACTTGTGCTGTCATGTTTTAATTGATATTTTGGATTGTGAGGCTTAGCGCACTTGAGATGAGAGAGGCTTCTGAAATAACACCTTAATGATTGCCCTGTCCTGTTCATTCCCTTTGAAGCATCTGGCATTGGCCATTGTTGGAAGACAGGATACTGGGCTACATGGTCTGACCTAGTATGGCTGTTCTTAATGAGCCTTCCATGGTAATGAAAGCAAACACCAAAGATGAACACACACTTCAGATGAACTGTAATGGCCAAATAGTTTAATTCCATAGTGACTGCACAGGTCCTATCCTCACGGACCCATGAAGACAATGGTCTGGTGAGTTTTCCATTATATTTAGTAATTACCGTAACTTTGGTTGTAATTACATAAACTTCACATTGAGTTACTGGACCATTTACCCGAAAGATACAAATGGATCACCTGCAGCTAACATGACTTCCAAAGGGTTTTGTGGGACCTGTTGGGATGCTGATATTGTTTCCTTAGTCCCTGTGTTTTCTTTTTTGTTTATTAAATGTATGCAATGATTTCTTCTCATTGTAGGGCTATGTGGTTCAATCTCTCTCTCTTGCTCCACTAACCCATCTTCATTTCTTAGTCATTTCTGTACATTGGTCTCCAAAAAGACTCCAAATTTTTATCAAAAAGAATCTCCAAAATAGGCAATCTCTTATCAACATCTGGCCCGATTTTTTACAAATATCTTCTCTGTCTCGTGGTGCCATATTGAAGCTGAGGAAGTCACAGTGTGAAGTGCAGAGCTGCTTAGCCACCTCTTACTGCTGATGGTGTGTAGTGACAAGGAACAGCTGAAGGATTTTTTTATTACAGCAGAAACCAAAATATGGTGCCTTAAGGACTAAACTAGACCTGTCCCAGGGTTATTTTAGATGGAGCATTTGGATTTCAGAAATGTCTGTGTTCTATTAATTGGCTTCCTGTTTCTTTTTGGGATTTTTCCCACCTCTCTTTAGACTTCTTCACCCCCTCCACCATCAAAGACATACTGCACAAGTAGTACCTGCTCGCCTGTTGCACAATGATAAATTAATGTTAGGAAATAATTTCATGAACCTTTCACTACCTATGCTAAGAATGCATCAAGGATATAAACCTCCATCTTTGAGAACAGAAGCAAAGCACTAATTACCTGGGGTTAGAAAGAAGGTTCTCTATTGGTATGTTATTAAAAAGTTATGAATTATGGAGTGGTGGTTATATTTTCCTTTGATAAATCTGGTACTAGCCGCTATTTGACATGGGACTAGACGGATCATGGCACTTCCTACAAAATTTGTAGAAGTTATGGCATATGACACTTCAGATCTCATTACATGAAAATCCCCAGCAAATACTCCATACATTAATGGAAACAATCTGGTATGCGCACATGAGCAAGACTTTCACCACTAGCTTGCAATGTAGACAAAGCCTGTGGAGAGACGACATTTCCTCACAGGTCAATGTCACTATAGGAGGACATTTCACTCTAAGTAGAGTTGCCATTTCTGCATATAGCAGTACAGAATACTGAAACAATTCCGGTCCACGTCACTATGTGTTATTTTTAAGTGCTTGATAGCTCAGTCACAGGATAGGATTAAGGTCAGGTTTTTATTTTGTTTTTGTGGGTTTTTTTTTACATGCAATATAATGTAGAGCTGGTCAAAATGTATCTGTTTAAAACTTTTTTATGATACAGGTCTTCTATTCAAAAATGAAACTTTTCTGCATTTTTTTTATTTTTCAGATTTTTTTTTCCATGGGGAAAAAAACCACAAAAATTGGTTTTCAGTCCCCCCTCCACACCCTTCCCCCCTCCTTTTCAGTAGCAAAAAAGGGGAAGAGAAATGGGGGGGGGGAAGATGAGAAAGGAAGAAAAACATCTTCATTGTCAGTTTATGAAATGTTTTGTTTTTTTCAGTTTTGAAAACCAAAAAAATGTTCCGTTTTTTTTGTTTTGTTTTTTAGTCAAAGACAAGCAGCACCACCTTTTTAGTGCCCTGCATGTTTTTTGTATTGTGTTGTCCTGCATTTGCATTTAACTAACACTCTCAATATGGGCAAAAAGAACAAGGAGTACTTGTGGCACCTTAGAAACTAACAAATTTATTTGGCCATAAGCTTTCGTGAGCTAAAACCCACTTCATCGGCTAGATGTCAGCAAAGACTCAATACAATTCTTGTGAAAAATGCAAGCTTTAAACATTGGCTGGTGGGATAATTGTCTTGTGCTCTGCCACTTATCTTTTAAGTGTTTTTGTGACAAGGGGAAGTATTTTTTGTGAGCTCCCTGCTCTTGTGATGCAGTCTCATGGAACAGGAAAACATCACACGCAATGTTAGGGGCCTAGATCATTCTTGCCGGCTCCTCTATGCACTGATCTCCTTTGACCCACATGGACAGAAAAGCTGTATGGCCCCATTTCCCCTTCCTGGAACCTGGCAGAAGAATCCCCAGGAGGGAGTCGGGATCCTTGTGGAGGGGATCAAGACCAGATCTAGGTTGGGAGACAATGGTCATGGTGGTGGAGGCCCAGGACAATGCTGCCCCTCCCCCTCTCCTATCAACCCTACAGAAATTAGGCAGAAACTGTAGTGCAGTCCTGAATT